TTGTTTGATTCAAATTACATATAAACTATAATTCTATGATTCGGATTTTTATTTTTATAAATGGTTTGAAATAAAAATATCGTTTCAAGTAAATTTACAAAGAGTGACTCTATTGAATTTTTTCAGGCGAATAATAATCAGGCGAAAAATAATCAGGCGAGTTATCCGTTTCCCGAAAATTATTGTTGTTGACCCGATAATTATTTATCGGGTTTTAAAGTGCTTGTTATTAATTATTTTTTGAGGTTTTAAAAACACAAAAATATATTTTATAACAACATGTTTTTACTATTTACCAATACTCGCTTTTTGCCACGTTTTATGGTTTTATTTTTGAAAAAATACTTGTTTTTTTTCTTAAAATTATTGTTTTTTAGATCTCTTTTTGAACTTGTTATTCCATTTTCAATTTATTATAAAATTATAGTACCCATAGTAAAAAGCATCTATTTCTGAATTTTCAAACACAGAAAATTATTTATTTGTGGGTTCTGGATTTGATTGGCCCATTGACCCACAAATATAAAACCCACAAATAGATGCTTTTTTAAGTAATAATAATTGAATAAATTTCTACAATTACAATAATATACTTTTATTTTATTAATTAAAAACTACTATTTTTTATATCACTTAATTCTATTGTATTAACTTTTGTTATTAATATTTTAAAATGACGTGGTATATACTCACCAAATTACACAATCTCGCATTTAAGTAATCTCTGTCCCCAGGAGGTGAGGACAGAGATTAGGAGCCTCTTATTTCTCGCGTGCTTGAAGAAATTGATAAAATCAATTTCGCAAATATTTAATTGATTTTTTCAATTAATATTATTTATATAATGAAATATATATAACACTTTATAATTTAATTAATTCAATTAATTTCGATGAACTTCTGTATTTGATGGGAAACATTGAATTCCAATTGATGTGACACTAGATGGTATTGTAATGCCGTGTAAACTGCTGCATCCATCAAAACAATATTTACCAATTGATCTCACACTCGATGGCATTGTAATACTGGTTAGACTACTACATTCATCAAAACAACAACCACCAATTGACGTCACACTTGATGGAATTTTATTACCAAATTTATTTCTATCATTTTCAGTGTATATGATATTTTTAAACTCGATGTTTCGACTTTTGTTTCTGTCAACAGTTTCAAAGTCAACATTGAACCACACAATAATTCGAAAGAACTCTATCTTTAAAACAGTTTTATTTTCACCATTTCCATTTGTTCTTCTGTTGATCATAAATCCATTGCCAAAGTTCTCATCATTTTTCTTATATAAGTGAAGTGTCTCGATGTTTGAAAAGTATCGAAGTGTTTTAGAATTCAACTGAATCGGGTTAAAATGGAACTTCTCCATATTGCCACCAAACTTCTTGCATACCAACTCCAAGTTAATAAAGTCTTTGATTGTACTTAAGTACTTTGAGACTATCATGATATGATAACCAGAAAATCTACACGTTTTGATATTCACAGTTTTTCAGTTTTCAAATATTTTTAAAATTCGTCTTTGTAAACAATTTTAAAAATTATTAAATTAGCGTCATTCACTATTTTAAGCATGATTAGACATTACAGTCTTTTTGAAAAGGGTATATTCCTAAAAATGTTCTTTTTCAACACAAAACACCGACAATTTACTTAAACTTTTGTTTTGTTGACTTTTAAAAATAAAAAAAAATAAAATTTATAATAATAAAATCCAAATGCCAATTTTTTCATTTATAACAATTGTTTTTTTCTTTTTTTAAAATTAAAACAAATTAAACTAATAAAAAAAAATACTTGAGATAATAATTTAATTAATATTTTATTAATTTGTGTAATACATTATAATAAATTAGTACATTATAGTTTGTTAAATAATGATAAAACTCATTTTTAAATATAAAATAATAAAATTGAATTGAAGTTATCCAATGATATTTGACGTCTTCTCAATTTTATCTGCACACAAAGTCTAAATAATTTTAAAACACATTATTTTTTTCATCATAAAAATAATTTTGTTTTCAAAACACGTTTTAATTATAAAAAAAATGTAAATAGTTTTATGTTTAAATATCACAAATTAATTGATTGTGTTTTTTTACAATATGACTACATTTTCAAAAGTGAATAAAAGTTTTTATATAGAAGGTTACTTCATTAATTTACAAAACTGAATGTATTAAAATTTATTTCCAATTCAAATTTTTTATCATTTTATTAAAATCTTTTCTAATAATTTTGGTTTATATTTATAATTACGACATTTTCAGTAAATTAATAAATGAGGTGCTTACCAATGTGTTTTTATTGAAATCGTTGATTTAAATAAAAATGCATCAGAATTGGGGTTTGAATATTTAGAATAAAATTATTAAACGTACAAGCATATAATAATATTTTATATGTGTGAACATGTGTTAGACTCAAATAACAAAATATAATGGTCTTACTTTATAATTGTTACAACTTGTATTTTTATAAATAAATATTATCATTAAAAGTATAATTTAATTCTAAATAATTGACTATAATAATAATCAAATTGTTTATCATTTTAATTGTTTATCGTTAATAATAGATTTGTTATCTTGTCTTAATGATTGCTTCATTAATAACAAGTTTTGTTGTATTTTTACTTTATGAGAATATCCAAAAATTTTAAAAACATATATATTTTTAGATAATTAAAAAGTGATCAATCAATTAAAATATTAATTAAAAAACGATTAAGTTTTAATGATATGAATAATGTGAAGATCAAAAATTAAAATTTATTTGTATTAATTTTGAGTTAATTACAAACTATATTCCAACTCGTATTTTTAGATACAATTATGATAATGGTAGACATAATTAAAGTTTATTTATTTATTTACAGATTCAATAAAACGCACACTCAAATAATAATTGTGATAATAATGAATAAAATTATTCACAAATAAAATGACCAGAAGTGTTTTTATCACTTTATTAGAAAATGTTGTTTAATATTAATTGATATATATAAACAAAAATTGATAACTAATATTCACCAAATGCCACCAACAATCAACGTCGACAACTGTACTGGATGCAGCGCTTGTGTATCAGCATGTCCTGCAAATGTCCTCGAGCTGCAGAACAACAAATCTTTTGTTGCAAGACCAGATGATTGCATTGAGTGTCATGCCTGTGAAGAGGCATGTGCTTTTAATGCAGTTTTATTCCCTTAATTGACCACCTTAATTATTTTGTGTTAATGTATTATTGTTGTGCTATGATATTTTAATCAATTTAAACAACCTACTAAATATCTTATTAATTATTATTAAATTGGTATTTGTAATAATAAATAAATATTAAATGTTATTAAATCCAGCATTTATTTTTATTGTATAATTAATCTTCTTTACAACAAATAGAATTATTAGTTGTTCAAAATATTTGTTTGGTTATAAAATGTAAGTGTGTTTGTTTTTACATTATTATTTTAGAAACAAATTTAGAAAGTTGTTTATGGTTTTAAATAATATGTTTTTAAGTGTTAAAATAATCTTTTATTTATGTTTTTTTTCGAAAATATTAAATAGAAATTTGTATAATATTAAATTAAGGAACAATTTAATTATGACAAAATAAAATAAAAAAGATAAATAATAATTATTACATTTCGAATTATGCTCATATTTAATTTAACGTAATTTGTATCAAAATAATGACTTATATCAAAAGTAAAAAAGAAATATATATTGTTTGAAAAGCATAATATAATAAAAATTTATTTTTAATTGTTGATATTACAATTAACACAATATTATGAAGTGTTTCTTTATCGGTTTATATATAAATAAATAAATAAATTATATCATAATTATAATTAGACATCGGGCCCGTTACCATATTTAGCATTAAAAATGCAAATTAATAGCTAATGTTTAATTTTGCCGTGATAATACTTTTAAATTATCAATCGGTAAAATAAAGGTTATTATGTGTTTTTAATTATACGTATTTACATAATAATTAATGATGCCAATTTAAAAAACTTTTATTCCAAAAATGAAATAACAATAAAAAATGATACTGTTAAGACATTATGAGTTTATTTACCAAAAAAAACAAAAAAATAAATTATTTACAGTTCATATAAAACAAAACAGTTTTTATTTTCAAAAAAATAATTGAAACAAAAAAAAGAAAAATGGCAATATTTAATTATGGTAAATAATGAAAAAAACATTAAAAATATAACATTTTATTTTCTTCATAAAAATTAACAATCATTATTTATTAAATAATTCATTTTTGTATATTTGTTATTTAAAACTCAAAAAAACAAACAATGAAAACCAGTATAGTTAATGAAAAGTGGTATCAAAAATACTATACTCCTTTTTCCACATGCGATACTTGTTGTTAATGTCTCTTCTGTGGTACACAAATCACTTGTTCTCAAAAGAATGGACCACATTCAATAACTCGGCACCTTTTTGAATTTCATATCAACAATCTTAAATCACACGAAAAGGACCATCTTCTTAAATGTGAGGATAATGTCGACCCACATACTTGGGCTTTTTTAAAGCTGTTGTTGAAATTTTTCATTTCAGCATCTATTCCACTCAGCCAGTTTGACAATCCATGTCTCGCCGATTTATTACAC